CCCAGCTGCTCTCAGGCGGGCAGAGAGGAAGCCCCGGTTCTCCTTGGACCACCCACAAGAGCATTGAGCCAGCTCTATGCATCGGGACTCAGCCTCTGACTTGATCCTGCTGGCTGGGATCTCCTACAAACTTCAGGTGCCCTCCAGACTTCCACGATGCAAGGAGTAGACTCGATTCCTGCAACTCTTACAGGGGCTTTTCCTTTTGTGTGTGTGTGGGGGAAATGCAGGTGGTCAGGAAATGCAGGCAGAGCAGTTGGGGAGATCTTCATCAGGACCATGTCCTGAGTCTTACACATGACCCTAGAGGAGTTGAAACAGAGGTTCTGGGATCAAGTACAGCCCTGTGCTCCTCACCTAGGCCAGGCACCCCAGCGGATCCCCTGGGAGCTCAGCCAAAGGGTCCTCCATTGGCCCTGATCCATGCAGGGGTGGGGGGTCTCACACCCGGGGAGCCAGGGTTAATGGCTAAACTGCTTGTCCTCCCTGGGGAGGAGGTTAATGTTGGAAAGCCAGACAAGTTGCAGGAAGTGCCATTCACAGATAAAAAATTAACTCTTCAGCTATTCTGGGCTCACTGGCCAAGGCCATTCCAGGTTTTTGTGGGAACATTTCAGGGTCACCCTAATAGCTGCATGGCTTGCTCAAGGGGATATTTATTACTCTGTTTATAGAAGCTACTACCCTCCTCACAGCCGGCTGACAGAAGGGCTCTGGCTCTCCCTAGGAAAGATTGTTCTAGAAGAAGGGTGGTGGCAGTCTTGCAGACTGAGCCCTGGGCTTGGGACTATCACTTAGGTACTATGTGATTTCCAGCAAGACTCTGGTCCTGCCTGAGGCTCGGTGCCCTCACCTTCAAGTGAGAGCACACCAGCCCTGTTTCTTCTTGGCTCTGCCCAATCCAAGCCTGAGTAGCAGGAAACAGGCCTAAATGATTTTGAACTTTGTTCATTGGGTAAAATTCATACAACCTTAAATCAGCCACTTAAAAATGTACAATCTTGGGCTGGGAGTTTGGCTTAGTGGTAGAGTGTTTGCCTAGCATGTGTGAAGCCCTGGATTCTATTGCTCAGTACCACATAAACAGAAAAAGTCATAAGTAGTAGAGCACTAGCCTTGAGCAAAAGAAGCTAAGGGACAGCACCCAGGCCCAGAGTTCAAGCCCCAAGACCAAAAAAAAACAAAAAAGTACAAACCCAGCCAGGTCCCAGTGGCTCATGCCTGTAAGCCTAGCTCCTCAGGAGGCTGAGATATGAAGATTGAAATTCAAAGCCAACCCAGGCAGACAAATCAAGAGACTCTTAACTGCAGTTAACCAGTAAAATGCCAGAAGTGGAGGTGTGGCTCAAGTGACAGAGTGCCAGCCTTGAGCTAAAAAGCTAAGCCAGAATGTAAAGCCTTGCATTCAAGAGCCAGTACCACGGGCACAGGTGCGTGTGTACGCGTGCACGCACACACACACACATAGGTTCGTAAGCACAATCAATCCCATGGTGGTTGTGTACCCACAATGCTATGCAAACACTCCCTCTCTCTACTTCCAAAACATTCTCATCACCCCTCAATAAAGTTCCAAGTCCACTAAGGATCTGCTCCCCTTCCTTTCCTCTCCCAGCTCCTGGCAAATTGCTAATTGCAAATTGGAGTTCCAATTCTGGGCATCAAAATACAATGTATAACCCTTCCTCTCTGCCTGTTTTCCTCTTTGAGAGCAAAGGTCTCTAGCATCATCCACGGTGTGTGGGCATCAGCACTTCACACATGCTGGCTCCTGCTGGATCTCACAGCTCCTGATACTCTGGTGCTACCATGCCTCTCTCTTCCCTTACCTGGGACCCTCAACTGCCCACGGCTCTCCTCTGCCCAAACCCTCCTAGCCCAACGGACCTTGACTCATTCTGTAGAAGTAAACTTAATTTATATAACATTTCAGGCAGCTTTTATTTCTTTTTCAAAATATACTTTTATTGTTATTATTAACATGTTCAGAGGGGTTACCATTTCGTAAGTAAGGTAATGATCACGTACATTTCTTTTTGAACAATGTCACCCCTTCCTTCTCTTTCTCCCAGTTTCCCCCTCTCATCCCTGTGCACAAGTTGCATAGTTCATTTTCCTCATTAGTGTCTACTGAGTACCATGCTTGCAAAGTTTTTAGTGTTTAAAATAATTGTACCATTGGTGGGCACTGGAGGCTTACGCCTGTAATCCTAGCTACTCAGGAGGCGGAGATCTGAGGATTGCGGTTCAAAGCCATCCTGGGCAGTAAAGTCCATGACTCATCGCCAAGTAACCACCAGAAAACCAGAAGTGGTGCTATGGCTCAAGTGGTAGAGCACTTGCCTTGAGCTGAAGAACTGAGGGAGAGCACCCAGGCCCAGAGTTCAAGACCAAAAAACAAAACAAAACAAAACACCCACCACCAACAACAAAAATAAGCCACAACAAAAAATAATTGTACCCTGGCTGGGAAGGTGGCTCAGTGGTAGAGTGCTTGCCTTGCATGCATGAGGCCCTGGGTTCAATTCCTCAGCACCACATACGCAAAAAGAAAAAAGCCGGAAGTGGTGCTGTGGCTCAAGTGGTAGAGCGCTAGCCTTGAGCTGAAGAGCTGAGGGACAGCGCCCAGGCCCAGAGTTCAGGCCCCACGCCCGGACCCCAAAAAAAAAATTTGTACCATCAACACTATTACCCTCCCCATTTTCTAGATGAGCCACTAAGTCTCTGAGAGGCCTAAGATTGCCCATATCACACCAGGACTCAGCCCAGATCTTCAGCTTTAAAATCTTGACCATTTTGTAGTTCATAATCCAGTCTAATAAAACTCATTACCACTGAGTTGGGAATGACTGAGTGACTGATAACCTTGACCTTCCCAAGAAGAATTTTCCATTAGAGAGGAGAGAGAGAGAGAGAGAGACAGAGACAGAGACAGAGAGACAGAGAGAGAGAGAGAGACAGAGAGACAGAGAGACAGAGAGACAGAGACAGACAGACAGACAGAGACAGAGGACACAGAGACAGAGACAGAGAGACACAGAGAGACAGAGACAGAGAGATGCCTGGGGTGTGGGGGATTGAGGTGCACATGGGGACTTTCCTGAGAGGGTTACAGGTCATCTAGTCACTGGGAAGGGAGGACTTAGCTTCCAGTCCCCTGGTGCTCAGGAGCTGGGTGGGAGATGCACAGACTACTCGGAGGACACAGCTGCTTCAGTCCCAGGATTAGGAAGATCCTTCATTCCTTGTATTCCAGCTTCCATTCAGCACCTGACTTTTCTCCCAGTCTTGTTTGAATATCTTCAGTGATGGGGAGCTCACTCCTCCCCAGCCTGTGCGTTCTGGAGTGGTTTATGCTCCCTGCTTTAGAGGTCAATGGCCCCAGGCTCCAGCTGTGCCTGCAGCATGGGTTTAAATGCCTTTGAAGCCCTAGAGGACTTTAGTGAGCTCAGTCCCTGCCCAACCACTGCTGCTGTGTGCAGTGCAGCAGTCACAAGGGAGAGCAGTTGTCTTCTGGACCTAAGTCTACACATCAGGTCAATGGAGAAGCCAAGGACAGCATCCCAGGCATACCCATGGCTGGCCTGGGGCTGGCAGATGAAGATGGAGGGAGATAAAAGGAGGTGCAATGAAGCTGCAGACAGGCTGCTGTGCAGAGTCTGTCCTGAACCACTACGGGGTCTTGAAGAAGAGAAGGATAGGTGGAAAGAATGGAGAGGTACCTGGGAGATAGCTGTGAGGGTCCCCAGGTGGAAGAAAGAGCGACTTACAAGAGGACATGTCACCGTTGGGGCAAGGGCAGGAAGAGCTGCAGGCTCCCTGCTGGTCTCACCCTCAGCAGGTAACGGGAGCAGCATGGAGAAGCACCTGTCATCTCCATGGCCCAGTCCAGCCTGGCCCCATCATGGCAGTCGGTCCCACTGCTCCAGAAACAGCCTCAAGGATACTGTAAGGGCATCCGAGCTTGATGAGAAATAGGGGGTCTGGAGGGTGAACATGGGGTAAATTCCCAGCTGGCAGAAGACTGTGTGCCAGGCATGGGCTAGGCTGGGGGGCGATGTGGAAATAGCCAAGATGCCACCTTGATCTATCTCTCAGGTCACCCTTCCTCCTTCCTTAAACCTGCTGTAGAGCCCTCTTTCTGTCCCCCAAAGCTGGAGATAGGAAGTTGAGGGTGCTGTGTGTTTGCCTTGGGACAGATGCTCTGCTGGGGACTTTAAAACTAGAAAGGAAACAAATGGAAAGGAGTTTATTGGCTGTTGGGCATTTTTCATTTTTTATGAGTTTTATTCTGAGTCTATTCTCCTGGGCCACTGTGGGCTCTTTCAAGGAGAGCACTGTGAGCTGCCATAGTGACTGATCTAGTGGGCCGGGCAGTGTGGTCTGGCACCAGTGGCAGCCAAACCATGCAGGAACTGGTGAGAAACACCCATTCTCAGTCTCCACCTCTGGTCTGAGCCCCCAAAGAGAATCTGAAGTTCAAGATGAATGGGACAAGTCTTCTCATCATTTTAGAATTACTTGAAAAGCTTCACATGATATTGGCTAGGGCCCACCCAGACCAATTCCCTGGGACTCCCTGCACGTAGGCCTGTTTGTGTACATGTTGGGGGTGCCCTGAGTCATTGATCCAGGGTGCACCATGACTGGAACAGCCAGGAGTGAGTCCCAGTACTATAAGTTATTTAACATAACTTGAGGCATCTTCCCAAATCCAGACCTGCCTTTGTGAGTCTCCATGAGAGACTATGTGTCTCCATCTCTACCATTTAATGTCACAGTCCCAGGCCCAGAAGAGAAAAACAATAAGTGCATTCGTTAGACAACATTGGCTCCTGAACTCAAGCTCTGCAAAAAGTTGAAGTTTGAGAAGTCAGTCCTCAGTTGGACTTAGGAATTATCTGATGAGACCTGGGGGAGAAGCGGGTGGGAAGCCGCGGGGGAGGGGCTGCCCGCGGCTCGTGCATCATCTCAGTCTCGTGCTGTGGTTCTTCCCACAGGCTGTGAGGGGCTGTGGGACAACATGAGCTGCTGGCCCTCGTCTGCACCAGGACAGATTGTGGAAGTGGAGTGCCCCAGGTTCTTCCAGATGCTCACCGGCAGAAATGGTACCCAGGCCCAGGGCCTGAAGAGAGTCCCCCCGGGAGGTCCCTGGATGCTGGCTCAGCCCAGAGGCAGGAGACCAGGATGTAGGGACACACAGGGGGTGAAATAATTGGGGTGAGACTTGCTTGGGCATGTGGGAGGCTCAATTCTCAGGGTCCACAGGAAGGGGGTAGGAGATGATGCCCTGGAGAAGGTGTTAAAAACAAAAACAAAAATCAACTAGCCCTGCCAGAAGCTGGCAACTCAGGAAGCTGAGATCTTAGGATCACTGTTTGAAGCCAGCCCAGGTAGGAAAGGCTATAAGACTCATTTCCAATTAACCTCCCCCAAACCAGAAGTGGAGGTATTATAGCTTAAGTGGTAGAGCTGCCTTGAGTGCAGAATCTAAGGGACAACATCCAGGTCTGGAGTTCAAACCCCAGTACTGGCACACACACACACACACACACACACACACACACACACACACACACACACACACACACACACACACACACACAGAGATCAGGGCTGTAATTGTTTCTCCCTGCCCCCTCCAATGTGTCTGCCCTCTCAGCCTTGCTCTAAACACCCCTCCTCCATTTCTGGAGGCTACCAAGCAGCTAACCTTCAGAAGGCTCACTTCCTCCAGGCCCTCCTGATATAACCTGTGATCTTTGGAGAATCCTGACCTCATGGCGACTCATCTGAGGTCAGCTGCAGTTGGTGAGGATTTTCTTAATTTACTAATTTGGTTGAAGGCTGACCACATGCCAGGGATCTTCACATGAGCTCATTCAAGTCATCACAATATCCTTTCATGTCACATACCTTTTCTCCTCACCTACTAGCCCTCCAACTCTGTAGAGTAATAAAAATATGAGCTGGGAATGTGGCTTAGTGGTAGAGTGCTTGCCTCACATGCATGAAGCCCTAGGTTCAATTCCTCAGTACCACAAAAGCAGAAAAAGCCAGAAGTGGCACTGTAGCTCAAATGGTAGAGCACTAGCTTTGAGCACAGAGAGGCTCGGGGACAGAGCCCAGGCCCTGAGTTCAAGCCCCAGGACTGGCAAACAAAAACAAAAACAATAAAAATAGCCAGGTGTGGTAGTGCACATCTGTAATCACAACACTCATGAGGCTGAGGCAGGAACATAATGAGACCTGGTCTACCCAATATCAAACACAAACAAAGTTAGTAGTAAAAATTGACACTAAGAGAGGTTTACCTAACACTCACAGAAATAGATGGAGAAACTAAGAATCAAGTTTGATTTCTACTTTCAGATATGGTGCTCTGTCTTTGAGGTCATGGTCCAAGTATATCTCTAGCCCTATAGTCAGGGTGATCCTGACAGAAGGTAAGGAAGGTTCAATAGCCCCTGCCCTCAATGGGGTCCTTGGGAAAGCTTGTTTGGGCCTGGCCCTGATGCTTTCTCCATCACACAAGCAGGGCAGGAACAGTCAATCAATGAGGCACTCAAACAAGAACAAATCAAAGAATGGGTGATTTGACTCCAGGGCCCATCAGTCTTCCAAAGCCAGGCAAGGAAGGGTGACCATGGAGACTATGTTAATCAACTTTCTATTACTGTGGCAAAAGTATCAACCCAAAGAGGAAAGGTTTATTTTGATTCACCGTTTTGGATGTTTCAGTTTGTAGTTGGATGGTTCTGTTGCTCTTGTCTCTGTGGAAGGAAGGCAGCACATGATGGCCTGGAGTTCCTGGTGGAACAAAGCTGCTTTCTTCTTCAACCCCTCCTATCCTCTGCAGACCGTCCAGGAGGAGCTAGCACATGTGGCCCCAGGCTGACCTGTGTGCCAGCCTGTCATGTCTCTCCACTTCGGAACTTCTTCCGGCATCACTAACTAGAAGCCCATTTTTTCCCCTATTAAGATCCTCATCCTTGAAATGATTAAAACCCATTGAACAAGTCTTTGTCTGAGTGCGTTGAGGATGGACATCTGGGCTCCCTATGCCTTGTTCTGCAGCAGTTTCATCTTCTTACCACATGGTGTCGCTACAGGATTGCATATCTACACTGAGCCATGCTTCCTGTACTGTCCTGCTGGCAATGACTGAACCCTAATCCTCAGATCTCAGCATCCTGAGTAGCTAGGATTATAGGTATGAGTCACTGGCACCTGGCGTGGAACTTTCATTTTAAGTGAAAAGAAATAAATTCTAGAAGTGATTCATAAATAAATGATTTCCCAGGCACCCCACCCTCACCCCCACCCCCACCCCCACTCCCACTCCCATATGGGTTGGGCCAGATCGACATCCCTGTGACTGGAGAAACTGCCAGCTGCAGTCTGCCCTGGATAGTTCTCATGCCAGGCCTAGAAAATTCCCCTAGGAGACATTCTTTTGATTCTTAAAAAGATACTTGGTCTTCTAGAATTCCTTATTTTAAAAGAACACATTTCCTGGCAGGGTTGGTTACCCTGGACCTTTTTTCTCTCTGGCTTAGTAGCAATGGGTCATTTAGCTTTCGGGACCAAGAGATCTGAGAACCAGATGAAAGTCTTGGATAGTTCCTTCCTAATTTGTGTGTCTATGCATACACAAACACACTTGGTGTGTTTCAGAGCTCCCTGGGAGCAGGCACTGACAGGGGGAGGGGAGGGGAAGGTGTGAGGTGTGTGGAAGAGGTAGGTCTCTGTATAAGGACCTCTTACCTATTAGGAATGAAATCCAGGGGAACTGGGTGGGGTCGACAAGACCCCTGAAACCCCCTACCTCAGGCAGTCCTGCAATGTGGCTCCCTTAGTTGGGGCTCTGTCCTAGCAGCAGCTCTGTGTACAAGCCTGGGTTACATGTAGATCGCTTGGAGATAGTGCTGGGTCTGTGAAGAGGAGCCTCAGACTGACAGACAGATAGGCTGTGCCTGGCTGAGCCCACACAGAGCTGTCCTCTGGGCATGCGCTGTCTGATAACTTCCGGTTCCTCCCTTGAATTTCAAGACTCCATGACTTGCCCATTTCCTCCCCCTTTTGGAAAGGCCAAGGGGAATACGTGCTCTGGTCTAATACTGTGACACTCTGTGCTGGCACCACCTGGACGTGTCCTGTGCCTGTGTCCTGTTCCCTCTCCCCTGGAGGGTACTTCCTATTACGGTACTGAGACACATGCATGTGAGGTCATATAGCCAAAGAGCTAGCTCTGGACTTCAAATTCTGATCTGGCTGCTTCTAAGCCTGTACTCCAGGCACCCCCAAGCCTTCAGAGGCTGGGCATCTCCAGAGTCCAAAGGACAGTATCCCAGGACTAGAAACCACCTCTAGGACCACACCAAAGGGCCAGGTGGAAGGACCAAAGCAATGGGATACATGCTAGCTTGGCACTGAGGTCCAAAGCTAGTTTTCTGGTCTGTACAGCAGGCATTCCTCCCCTCACTGAGGCACTATGGGGGCTGGATCAGAACCTGAACTTAAAGTGCTGAGCTCAATGGTTGGTTCTAGAACAGCCATCTAGCTGGGCCTCTCCAGCTTAGTGGAACCCATTTATCCCTGAACTCTGAGTGGCAGGCAGCCTAGCTCCATGGGGCCATGGGAGAGGAGCAAACCAGGTCCAGCTGAGGCTGTCAGGGACCCTCAGGCAGGATTTCCATCCACAGGGACTCAATGATTGTGCCCTCACCCTGTGATGGTTGGCATACTGGCCAGTGCTGGGGAGCCAGATCCTGGCTTTCCTTGGCAGCTCGGAGCACAGAACACAACAAGCTATTCAGGCCTGCAAGCCTTCCTTCCTGCCTGGCAGCTTCCTTTCCATGTTTTTGGCTCTGGCTTTAAAAGCTCCATTAAGGGCTGGAGACTAAGCTCAGCAGTAGAGGCCCTGAATGAGATCCCCAGTAATGTGCTCATGGGCATGTGTTCACACATGTGCATATGTACAAGTGTGCACATACACACATAGCTGCAATGGGCTTATCTTCCCTCTTCTCTACCAGAAGCTCAGCAGGGGTCCCACTCCTTGGCTTTCTGTCCAGCTATTCCAAGGAGGTGGGGGGGGGGCCCTCTGGGCTAGGCCTGGGGGCAGGATACCCACTTCCCATGGGGTAAGAAGGGTCAGCATGCAGCCCCAAGCTGGGCCTGGCAGCCAGAATTGCAGCTGTCTCCACAGAGGGCTTGTTGTCGTGGCTAAAGGACTAATAATTCCATCCATCTGTGAAAGGCAGCTGTCTGGGAGGGTCCATCTTGGTGGCCCTCACTCTGATGGCTTCTAAAAGGCCAGGTGAGCAGGGTGTGAGGTTGGGGATAAAAGAAAACTTCCTTGGAGCCGGGCTATAACCACAGAGCCTGACCAGCGCTCATTGGATGAGTGGCCACATCTTAACCAACCACCCTGATGTTCCAGGTGTTAGAAACGCATGGTTCTCTGGCGTTAGAAATGAATGTCCATACAAGAGATATAGGAGATTTCAATCAAGGCAATTAATTTATTTTCCCACAAAAGGGTGCGGTGACATTACTCTACCTACAGTTAGGCAGGCAGTCCATGTAAGGCAGTTGCTAGGCTTTTCTCCCAAACCAAATTCTCTTTCCTCCTTGTCAAGGAGTTAGGCTCACAGGCTAAGTGTAATACATTGCCAAGGTTAGAAAGGGGGCCATTCTTTAATTCCTGTCAAAGGTTTACTTTTCTTTTCTTTTTTCACTTAGCAATTACAGTTTATTATTTTTAACTTCTTTAACACAAGATTGGTCTCCCCAACATGGATAGCTGGTAACAAGCAGTACAGGTAACAACTGGAGTAAATAAATAATTCCAGGAGTGATCAGTCCACAATACCAAATACATTTTAGTTTGACAGAAAAGAATGCTTTTTCTCACACAGTTCCCTCCTGCTACATGGTGGCAGGACCTGGGGTCAAGAGAATAAGAAAGGGGATTAGTATACCACCTCTGAGGGAGAGTAAGGGCCCTAGAGTCTGAATTCCAGAGTTCTAATCCTCCTTCCCCAGCTCCTACTGAGGGATCTTAGGCAAGTTATGTAGGTACTGTATGTCTCACTTTCCCCATCCACCAAATAGGTGAGGTGTTTGCATGTTACCATGGATTTTCAGCCCGATGTCAGTGTTCATGTGCAGGACCTTAACACCCACAGGGTCCCTGTTCCGAAACTGCACCCAAGATGGCTGGTCAGAAACCTTCCCCAGGCCTGACCTAGCCTGTGGGGTCAACGTGAATGATTCCTCCAATGATAAACGGGTAAGCTGATTCTGGGCTGGGGGGGGTAGGTGGGGGCTGGGGAGGTCTTAAGGAGAAGGGAAGCCAGCATCAGAGCTAAGGATCTGGAGGGCTGCCCTCAGCCCTGCACCTGCCCTGGCCACCTGGAGTTCAATGGTCTGCTTCACAGCCTAGGTCTATCAACTAGGAAGTGAAAGAGGACCCCAGGCCTTATGAGCAGGGTCAAATAACACTGCAAGACTGTAGGGATTTACTCATGACACTGGAAGAAGTGCTCAGAGCCAGGCTGCTGAATCAGAGTTGGGGAGGGGGAGGGAGGATTTGGGGAGGTGGGGAGGAAAGGGATGGTAAGGGAAAAACAAAGGAGGGGGTAACAATGCTTGATAGGAAATGTACTTATTACCTTGCTCATGTAACTGTAACCCCTCTTTATCTTTAAAATAAAAAAATATATATTAAAAAATGAAAGAATTTTGCCCAGTGCCAGTGGCTCATGCCTGTAATCCTAGCTACTCGGGAGGTTGAGATCTGAGAATCACTGTTCAAAGCCAGCCCAAGCAGGAAAGTCTGTGAGACTCTTTTTTTTTTTTGGGTCCGGTCGTGGGGCCTGAACTCTGGGCCTGGGCGCTATCCCTCAGCTCTTTAGCTCAAGGCTAGCACTCTGCCACTTGAGCCACAGCGCCACTTGCGGCTTTTTTCTTTTTTGCTTATGTGGTGCTGAGGAATCGAACCCAGGGCCTCAGGCATGCAAGGTAAGGGCTTTACCACTGAGCCACCTTCCCAGCCCCATGTGAGACTCTTATCTACCAGAAAAACCAGAAGTGGCGCTGTGAGCTGAAGAGCTGAGAGACAATACCCAGGCCTAGAGTTCAAGCCCCAGCACCGACAATAAAAAAAAAAAAAAAAATCCAGACTTGATCTCAGTAGAGCTGGGGAAGACCTAATTGCTCTGTGCCTCAGTGCGTGTGTGTGTGTGTGTGTGTGTGTGTGTGTGTGTGTGTGTGTGTGTGTGTATGTCTGTGTCCTGGAGTTTGAACTCAGGGCTTGAGAGTTGTCCCTGAGATTTTTCTGCTCAAGGCTAGCACTCTACCACCTGAACCACAGGTCTACTTTTGGCTTTTTGCTGGTTAATTAGAGATAAGAGTCTCATAAACTTTCCTTTCCAGGGCTGGCTTAGTGATCCTCACATCTCAGCCTCCTGCACAGCTAGGATTATAGGCATGAGCCATTGGTGCCCAAATGTGCCTCTGTTTCTTGATCTTGGAAATGAGGGTTATAGTGTTGTCCACACAGGCTGGTCAAGAAACCTGAGTGAGTTGATATATGGATATGCAGAAATGTATTCCTGGCTATAGAGATTTCTCAATAAATGTGTGCCCACAAAGCCTCCGGCTCTAACAAGCAATGACAGAGCTGGGTGCAGGACAGGTCTAGTCCAAAAGAGGAAACTCACTCTGATCTCAAGGAGAGTGGCTCTTCTTCAGGATGTCCAGATGCTCCCCCGGAGGGGTCCCTGTCAAGGTCCAGCCCAAGTATGTCCCTTCCCAGGACAGCCCAGTCTCTCAGAGCTCACATACACTCTGTATCCTTCCTCCCACAAGGGCCTCCTGTCCCAACACCACTTTCCTTCCTCTCTTTTCCTCACAGAATTGTATACAGCTTTCAGCATTTCACTGTGGTCCAGCCTTCACTTCCCCTCCCCAAGAAAGGGTCTCCTATACTGGGAGTTGGCCCCTGACTATGACCTGTCATGTCATGTTCAAATGTCCAGTGTCTGCTGTGTGGCTCCATCCCTCTTCCTAAATGTGAGCTCCTCAAAGGAATTTGTCTTCTTAACAAACATTTACTGAGCACCTATTATAGGCCAGGTCTGAATCTAGGTGTAGGGTTCCTGCAGTGACAAATCAGAAGGAATGTTAATTATTTCCAGGCCGTCCAGTGCCCAGCACGATGTCAGGCAGCCCCAAAGTGCCTGATCAATGTTTGCTGTTGTGCCCAAGGCCCTAGGTTCAATCCTCAGCACCCTCTACCCCTCCCCAAAGCATTTGTTGTTCTGAATGTCTGTAGCAGGTCAGCTGCTTGATGGAGGATGACATTAGATATCAAAATAAGCCTGAAAGTTCTTGAACATAATTGAACAAAAGCTCATATGTTCATGGAGAAGTTCCATTTTGCAGATGAGGAAACTGAGGATTGGAGGAGGGAAGGAACATGCATATAAAGTAGCAGACATGGGGCTTCAACCAAGGTTAGCCTCTGAAAGAACCAGTTTTCTGTTCTCGTCTTCTGCTGCCTTCCCATTAAGGAGGGCATTTCCTAGGAGGTGCACTTTTTCTGTTCAACGTCCTTAGTTACGCTTACTACATTATAGCCTTTTGGCCAACTCCATCCTGTTTTTTTGTAAATAAAGTTTTATCAGAACACAGCCAAGCTCATTTGTACCCTGCCACTGCTTTTGGATGACAAGGACAGAGTAGTTGCGAAACAGACTGCATGGCACCCAAAGCCTAAAACGTTTACTGTCTGCCCCTTACAGGAAACTCTTGCTGCCAACTGATTTGAGACAGGGGTGGCACAGCCAAAGTTTATAATAGAGACAGGCAGGGGGGCTCTTGGGTCCCAAGTCCTCGGTGAGGGGGGATGAAAAGCCGGACGCAATGGACAGCTGAAGATGTCAGGAGCTGAAGGGCCAAGGGTCACGCGAGGACTTCTGGGAGCAGGACTCTTCTTGGATCAGACCCTCCAGACAGAAGGCAGTCTGGAGAGTTGTGCTGAGGTCATCTGGTGGCAGTGACCACAGCCACACCTGCCTGGGTACACCTTGTATGTCCACCCTAGTCCCCTCAGACGCCTACAGGCTGTGGTAAGCACCCCCAGGATGATACTGGTGTTGTTCGCTGTGGAGCTCATCCTGGATATGGCAAGATTAGAAAATGACATGTTGGCCCCCAGCTTTCGGAAACCTCACACGTCTTTGGTGTGTGAAATTCTAGGGACCATTTATCTACGGAATCTAGGAATCTAATCTAATTAGTCTAGGAATCTAATTAACCTAAGGCAAGTCACTTCCCTTAGGGTCTAATCCCTTCCTCCCTGAGAAGTGGCTCCTGCTTTCTTGGAAAGGAGTCAGGCCAGAGTCCTATAGCAGCCATCACGTTGAAGGTCACCTCTTGGAGCCAAATAAATTTTGGTTTCTCTGTGTCAACATCTATTTATTTTCATATAACTTCTCCCCACTGAGGCTCCTACACAAAATCTTGTCCTTTTGTCTCCATGTCAGTCATACCAATGTTTTTCTTCCCTAAGTTGTTTTCCCCTCCGGGTACAACATACCTGAACTTTTCATGCCTTGTTCAGATGACACAATCACTGTCCTCTAGAAGTGTCTGGCTTATTAATGTGTCTCTTAAAATAACACACCCAGACTGGTCACAACACTCTCAACATTCCAGCATGGCCAGCTGCTCACAGCACTCCATCAGTGTAACTGAGAGCAGGCCACAGAGTTTAGCAGCTACCTCAGATCTCAGACTTCATACCAGCTCCTGCGGGTGCAGGGTGGATGGTGGAGTTCATCGCCCGATTAGAAGAGATCTGAATGTCAGGCTTTGCCTAGATAGCTTGATATCTTATTGATTCTTCCAGCAAACCCAGTAGGGTAGATTCATTATCCCCATTTTGCAGAGGGAAGGTGAAGGCCCCTACGTCTACTTCCTGGTCAGTGAACATGCCTAGAGTTTTTCAGCTACAGGCTCTGGGAGTCTTCTTGAAGAACATTGACAGATTGGAGCCGAATGTGATGGTAGAGGACTGTGGAAGGAGGCTGAAGGCATAGAAAATGAATCCAAAGATGAGTTGGAAAACTATAGGCCTCTATATAATCTTGGTAACAAATCCAGCTCATAGTAAGTGGCTCCAGAAAACATAAAATTATCACCAGATACAGTATAGAAGGTAGCTGGTTTTAACTTCACACCAGAAAAATCTAATACTTTGTGCTGTTGTATACCAAATGACCTTTCTCAAGAGGTAGAGAGTCTCTAGAGATATGCATAAGCAAAGACTTGAATTCAGAAAGTGAGTTAGGGACTTGCACATAGGATGGAGAAACCTAAGTGGGCATTGGATGATCCCTAAGAACTTTACCAAAGCCAAGGGGTTATGATGTATTGAGTGTGTGAATTCACACCTTTGGTATGGGAACAGAATACAGGGCTGGCAGGCTCATACTGCCTGAATGGGTTCACTGAGGCATAGAAGAGCCAGCCATGGCCAGGTGGGGCTGACCTGTGTCTTCCTCTGCAGCACGAGTATCTGCTGAAGTTGAAGGTCATGTACACAGTGGGCTACAGTTCCTCCCTGGTGATGCTCCTGGCCGCCCTCAGCATCCTGTGTGCTTTCCGGTGAGAATATGCTGATAGCTCTCCATCTCCACAACCCTCCCTGGGCACTGGCTTTAGGTCTCATCTTAATTGTTCAGGAGAGAAAGAGGAAGGTCTGGGTGAGTTGCTTTGTCATCTCTCCATGTAAAGCTTATCTGTGGTGCAACAGGGAAGTTCCTGTGGCAGCATTCATTCCCATATTTGTTCCTTTGTTCATTCAACAGTTACTAAACATTCCCAAGGCCCCAGTGCACCCAGTTGCTTTACATGCATTATTTCTATATACTAGGTATTATTGTATGATAATGAAAATATATAAATAGGTATCACCTCCAGTTTACAGGAAGACTAGTCAGAGTCTCCATTGCAAGAGACAGCATTTCACTATGAAACAGCTTTAGAAAACAAAGATGCTCTGACTTGTGTATTTGACACAGTCGGGATGCCTGCTTTAGGCATGGCTAGATGCTCATTGGGTCTGGCACTCTCTTTTATTCTGCTGTGCATTGGCACCATTTTCGGCCTGCCTCTCTGCAGGAATGGAAGAGATATCAACCACCATCAGCCTGCAGGAGCACATTCTAACAACTCAGCAAAACAGAGCAAAAATCCTTTTCGTCTCTGAGTCTGGGTCCACCTTAGACCACATGCCCAATTCTGAGCCAATCCTTATGACCAGGGATGGAGCAATCTGATTGGTCAAGTCTGTCGTGAGAGCAAGGAGGGTGGAGTCGATCCTTATCTGGAACTAGAAGGATTCTTCATAAAAAGTCATGTTCCTAGTGCCAGAAGAAGGGGAACAAGTAACATCGGGTCTTACACATATAGGAAACTTTCTGGGGCTGGAGATTAGGACTGTAGGTTAGGACAGAATATATGTTGTCCCTACAACCCTTGCCAGTTATTTCCAAACCATAGTGTTCCACAGAATGCTCTGGGCCTCTAGAACGCTTGTGGACCCCTGGGGCTCTGGTGAGCTCTCTGCTAACAGAGAGGCATGGCCTGCAGCGACTGACAGGGCCTCCTTTGCGCTAGTGCACTAACTGCGCATGCGTGGTCCTGGCTGCACGTCAGCCTCTCCCACTGTGGCATGGCAGCCCCGCATTCTCCCCAGCAGGAGGCTGCACTGCACCCGCAACTACATCCACATGCACCTGTTCGTGTCCTTCATCCTGAGGGCCCTGTCCAACTTCATCAAGGATGCTGTGCTCTTCTCCTCGGATGACGTCACCTATTGCGATCCCCACCGGGTAACACGCCTGGGTGTCCTGGGGTACCGTCGGGCCTGCCTTCCCTTCCCCAGCCCAACTCTGGAGAGCGTGTAACATAGTTGCTCTTCCCCCAGGTTCCTGCTGGGGATGGGGAAAGGGGCCAAGGCTGGAAGTTCTGGGAGATTCCGCTCAGAACACAAAGCCAGAGTCATGTGTTTGTTGGGAAGTGGCGGGGCTGTCTTTAACTCCAGCGTCCAGGAATGAATTAGCCACTCTAGCAGTAGAGCCAAAATGAGACTCCTCTTTTGCAGACTCCTGTCATCTCCTAGCTGTAGACAGAATAGCAAGACTGGAGAAGATTGAGGTTGATTTTTGTTTTTTTAAGTGAGATGACCAAGTTTGAAAAAGATTGGGATTGACTTAAACAAACAAACAAACAAGAGCTTGTGCCAGTATGACTATATATACAGATTTGTGCAATTTGCTAAATTCAAATGCCCAGGTGACCCCTAGCCCACTACATTAACTCTGTGTCACCTGGGGATCTCTTTTGCTACAAATAACAGAGAGTAATTCATCAGTGTTTTCCACAGATAAGGATAGTTGCTCATATAAGCAGCCCCCAGATGGGAATCTAGAAGTAAACAGGACATAACCTTCCCCTCTTTCTACTCTTCCATAAATGTAATATAGACCTTTGACTGCAGATTTTACATCACATGATTGCAAATATGGCTGCTCCAGCTCTAGGTTCCTTTCATGTACTGGGCAAGAAGGTAGGTCAAAGGAAAAATATTGGCTATGTCATGTGATCACACATAACCACAAAGGAAGCTGAGAAATTGAGGAGTTTGTTTTGTTTTTTAGATTGGTATAGCCAAAGTGCTTGTCACTTCCTACCACTCTCACATTTGTTTGTAGTGCTCCTGGTTCAGGGAGGAGGTGGGAAAGCAGAGTGCACATGCACCCATGGGCCTGTGTGGTGTTTCTGAGTAAGACTGAGAAGTGCTTCTAATAGGATCTATGTCTCTCCAGGATGGAATAAGAGACCCAGGTTGGATGTCAGGAGACTTATCTTCTGGCCCCTCCTCGTATTACCAGAGGTCTCTGTGGTCTGCCTCCTGCCTCCTGTTGCATCTGATTGCTTCCTTTGGGGCTCACCACCATCACCGAGCCTGGGCTTACCTGCCTCTTTCTGTCCAGGTGGGCTGTAAACTGGTCATGATCTTCTTCCAGTACTGCATCATGGCCAACTATGCCTGGTTGCTGGTGGAAGGCCTCTACCTTCACACACTCCTGGCCATCTCCTTCTTCTCAGAAAAGAAGTGCCTGCAAGGATTTGTCACCCTTGGATGGGGTATGTTTCTCCATGGTGTAATACTCTTAGATGTATAGGAAAGAGCATCCAGTTGAGGGTCAGAAGGATTTGGTTTCTAGTTCTAGCTCCACAAGTTGCCTGATGTTGAACCCTTCAGGCCTCAATTTTCTTATCTGCCAAATGGTTAGGAATAGCTAAAAATTAGGAGCAATTTCTGACATCTAAAGGCCTTTTATAATTTGGTTCTAAATCAACACTTAATGTTTTATCTTCCAGATAATCCATGTATGTGTCCTCTTTCTGGTTTCCTTTCTGGAGCAAGATATTCTCAACTGCTGGGGTAGAAATTCTGGCTCAGATATGCTTTAAAGATAAGGGAAATTGGCTGGGATCTGGTGGCTCATGCCTGTAATCCTATACTCCAGAGGCTGAGATCTGAGGATTATGGTTCCAAGACAACCCAGATGGACAAGATACTCAATCTCCAATTAAACAGCAAAAAACTCCTAAGTAGAGCTGTTGCTCAAGTGATACAGTGACAGCCTTCAGCAAAAAAAGTTAAGGGAGAGCTGAAGATCCTGAGTTCATGCTGTGAAAAGTACTGTACCAAAGAGTAAAAAATAAGATAAAGTACTAATTGGTCCAGTAACTGACAAATCTAGAGATCACTCACTTTCTCCAAGAGGAATCTTCTATCAGCTTAACAATGTTTCTTTCTGTCTGTACTTTGCTTTTTGTAACATCAGCTTTATCCTGGGGCTGGGACTCCCATTTGTCTGCCAGCAACAGCCACCAGAATACAGTTTTCTTGGTGCCGAGACCCAATAAGAAAAACAAGATGCCTGAGATTTGATCTCCAGCACTGGGGGAAAGGAGAAACAAACAAGGTAGCATTCCCTGCAACTTGAGGCTCCCTCTGATTGGACCACTTAAATCACATACACATCCTTGAACCAATCACAGAAACCTGACAGAAGGCTTATTTGTGCAAGTCACTCAAAAAGGCCATCAGGAACTAGTTTTCTATGAAAGAGAGGAAAACAGTGTAAGACAGCCTCCTGTCTGGTCAAGGAAAATATCAACAACTCTCATTTATTGAACTTACTATGTGCCAGGCACTGAATTTAGCACTGTATAGATTACAAGCCCCTCAGAGAGCTCAGAAAAGAGACAATATTCACAACTCATGCTATACACAGGCCTCAAACCAAGGCCTATTGATATCCAAAGCCCTTTAACTCCTACTCTACTATCAACAAATATCCATATATCTGCCTGAGAGAAAGTTAGCTGATATGCAATTAGGGGTAGAAAATAGCAACTGGGAAAGCAGATAATATGGCAGGAAACAATGATACAAAAAGCTTTGTTCCCATCAGGCCATGCAGGTTCCAATACTCTGACACATGCACTTTACAAAAGGAAAGGTGGAAGAAGATAAGCTTGTGCTCCAAGGGATTGGGGGATCCAATCAGAAGGGAACGTCCAGGCTCAGGCAGCCAGGAGGGATGTCCAATCAGAAAAGACTCCAGCATGCATGGATACTGGTTAATCAATCAAACTGAAAATGCACTCCCTCAAGAGGAAGGGGAAGGAAGGTCATATATATGGCAGGCCCAGACAAAAAGATTGTCTATACCTACCTATGGGTTTCCCCACTCTTTGGAAGGACTGTTTTGTTACTTCCTTTTTCCTTCTTTCCTTATGAGTGTGTGTGTGTGTGTGTGTGTGTGTGTGTGTGTGTGTGTGTGTGTGTGTATAGGTTCTAGGGCTTAAACTCAGGGCTTGGGTGCTGTCCCTGAACTTTCTCATTCAAGGCTAGCATTCTACCACTTGAGACACAGCTCTACTTCTGGCTTTTTGGTGGTTAATTATAGATAAGAGTCTCATAGACATTCCTGCCTGGGCTGGATTAGAACCATATGCTTTCAGATCTCAGCCTCCTGAGTAGGTAGGAGTACAGGTGTGAATGAGCCACCTGCTCCCATTTCTCCTTTCACTCTTAAATGAATGTCCTCAGTTTGCTTTAAACACTTTCTTGCCTTCTTAATTCTTTAATTTGAAGAGAAAACAAACTCCACCCTAAATAGTATTGCGCCTCATGCATGCATCAATTAACATCTGTCCATCCATCCTCTATCCATCCACCTTATTTGTGTACACACCAGTCTGATCAACCACTATCTATATGTCCACTCCCTTCCAACCATTTATCCATCCATGCATCCACTTATAACCATGTCCATCCATTCATCTATGCATCCATCTCCACTGTTCATTTGATAAGCACACATTTAAGTTGACAGCACAGCTAAACTTGTTTACTTCTTGACTCCTTCTTTGGTTTACTTCTTTGTTGGAGCATATCCTCCAGGACATGTCTGACACAGAGGACCCTGGAAGGAACATTTTTTCACATTGCATATCTGAAAATATCTTTATTCCACTTTTACCTCATTTACTGGTGCATAGAACATCAGGTTGAAAAACATTTTCCCTCAGAATTTTGAAGGCCTTGTGTTTTGGCATCTGAAGTTGTGGGAAATGCATGCAATTCTTGAACCTTTTACTAACTTTTTACATATCAGATGCCAGAGCTGAAGGTGTGGCTTACTGACAGAGCATTTATCTAGCATATGCAAAGCCAGAGACCAACTCCTAGCACCAAAAACTAGTTAATTAATTAAAAACATGGAATCTTCTCCGTTTTGAAATGTCACAGGGATGTAGGCCAATGGAGATCTTTTTTTTCCCATGGTGGCCCATTCATCTGCAAATTCAAATCCTCCTTTCTTAGAAGCATTCCTGTGTTATCTGCAGGATCATTTGTTTCCCTTCAGTTATTATTCTTTCCTATCCAAAACTTCTTTTTGTCAGAAGGTGCACATCCTGGAATAAACCCCTAGTGTTCTAATTTCCTACTTTACATTCCACTATTTTCTGTTTGTTTGTTTTACTTTCTGGGAGATTCCTAGTCTTTATTTTTTCAACTCACTGACTGAATTTTTGATTTGGTCATCTATAGTCCATGCCTTCTTTCTTACTCTCTGACTGCTCCTGGTTCACAGCTTCCTGTCTATATCGTATAAACGCAATCATGTCTGTCTCTTTGATGATATTCCCTAGAGTTGTTTTGTTCAAGTTCCCTCTGTTCCCCACTTGGTTTCCTCTTAGTTCCTCTTCTCTGATTGTTTTGTTCCTAGTCTTTTATGTAATCAGATGTCAGTGACCTTAGCTGTCTGTCCATATTTAAGAATGAGTCTTTTCAGAGCCAATCAAAAGTTCTGGGGAGAGGGCCCTGTCACAAGGGACCTGGCCTGGAAGTGGCCAGTAGATTAGAGGAGGAGGGTGTCCCAATATTGCTAACTCTAGGCCCTTTGTCTGTCTGGGGCTGTTTTGTACTTCCAAATAGAATCTTCCAATCTCCTGCCTGGAGTTCGGGAGTAAGAGTCTGGAGTAGAGGTAGACTCAGCCATTAGAGTGGGCCAGAGCTCTAACTATTGGCATGCAGCCGAATATCCATTAGATACAGAATGTGAGCCTCATATCTAATTTAAAAGGCCTGGTGTGCACCTCTAGTTCTAGCTCCTTGGGTCAGAAGCAGGAGGATCACTTGAACCCAGAATTTGAGACCAGCCTGGCAGTATAGTGAGTTCTCATGTCTTAATAAAAATAATAACATAGGGCTGGGAAAGTGGCTCAGTGGTAGAGCACTTGCCTTGCATGCCTGAGGCCCTGGGTTCGATTCCTCAGCACCACATAAGCAAAAAGAAAAAAGCTGAAAGTGGTGTGAGCTGAAGAGCTGAGGGACAGCGCCCAGGCCCAGAGTTCAGGCCCCACGACCAGACCCTCCCCCACCCCAAAAAAATAATAACATAGAGTTAGAGGCGTGGCTCAGTGATAGCACACTTGCCTAGCACATGTGAGGCTCTAGGTTCTATCTCCACTGCTCCATGTTTTTAAATGAAATTTTAAAAGTAAGTAAATTTCAGTAGGCACAGTAAACATTAAAAAAAAATAGTAAAAAGTGATATGTTTTGTATAACAGTATAATCAAAATAGTACCATTTCAATGTGTATTCAGTATAAAAACTGTAAGTGATATTTATATTCCTTTATTAATACTAAATCTTCAAAAACCTTAGATCTGTCTTGCACTTCAGCACACCTGAGCTGAGACCAGCCACATGGCAGGTGCTCAGTGGCCTTGTGTGGCAAGTGCCTGCAGTACTGGCTGGAACTTCACCCAGTGGTCATGCTAGCACCCACTTCTTCCCTCTACCTGGCTGGAAGCCCAGACAAGCCCTCCCTGGCTCAGTTCCCCTAGGGAATAAGCTCGGCTGGGATACACAGATACATCTTTGGTCTCCTGAGGGTAGTGTTGGCCACCAAGAGTGGCTATCTGCTTCTTATTTACACTTTCAACCATCCTTCATCTTAGTCCCATTGTTTCCTACCTCTTGAGGAGCATGGTGACTGGCCCTTAAACTCCCCCCCTACCCTCCCTCTACCTATTCAAAGTAGCACTGCCCCGCGTGGCCCTTGCATCTCTGCTTTCTCCACCCTGGGATGTCAGTTACCACCCCTCTGCCAGCTTTCTTCCCTCTCCCTCCCTCCTTCTCTCCCTCCCTCCCTTCCTTTCTTCTTTCCCTCTTCCTTTCTTTCCTTCTTTCCTTGCTTTTTCTTTCTTGTATACCAGTACCAGGGCTTGAATTCAGGACCTCACTCTCTTGCTTAGTTTCTTTGATCAAATTTGGCAGTCTACCACTTGAGCCACAGCTCCAATTTCAGTATTTTTGCTGGTTAGATGGAGATAAGAGTCTCTCTGATTTGGCTACCCAGGCTGACTTCAAACTATGATCCTCAGATCTCAGCCTTCTGAGCAGTTAGGATAATATAATAGTCTGCCAGCTGCCAATGTTCCTGAATGTGTTGCCATCTAGTCCCTTAACTGTTTCCTTCCCAGTGTTTGTGCTTATTGCCTTATACCATTTCTTTGTTGTTTGCTGGAGATGGAACCCAGGATGTCACGCATGCTAGTCAAGTACTCTGCCCCTTAGCCTCTACTCCCCATTTCTATTTCTTTACTGTCATGTTCGATGGAGGGGAAATAGAAATAAATGTGTAAGTTCAATTTGCCACATTTAACCACAAATTAGGAGATGGTCTTCTATCTTTTAAATTCAGTGGTAGTTTCTCTTCTCTAGTCCAAACTGTGTTTCTAGATAAATATAGCAGTGATTGCTGAGCTTTTACAAACCAATAGCTTAATAAAATCAATATTTCTTCCACCAACTGGTTTCCTACGCCAAACCCCATAAACATGTGTGTACTTTGCAGTTCAAGAGGGTAGCACCAGTACTGCCTCCATGGCTCCAAGGACCTGCCTGGGGAGGGGGATTTTGTCTCTTCTCTCATTCTCTTCAGAGGTCCTCTGGATTCCGGGGCAGACCTAACCCCCAGTGGCTTTCAGAATGTATCCCACTAAGTCTTAGCTTCCAGCACCTGTGAAACATGCAGCTCCATGGTGATACAGGATGGCAAAAGTGTTTCCATGGAAACCAAGCCTGGCACCTGCTTAGTACCTGGGCTGGGGTAACCCATAATCCCGATACTTGTATATATGTTGAAGATCTCCTACTATTTCTGCCCCTCAGGTTCTCCAGCCATTTTTGTTGCATTATGGGCTATCACCAGGTACTTTCTGGAAGATGTTGGGTAAGCTGTTGAAAGGTAACAAGAGCATGTAGTCGGCTCTTTGTAGCACTGGCTCTGCACATACAAATTTAACCAACCTCAAATGGAAAATAAATCTTGTTTAAAATGTCTCTGCATTTGGGAGGCTGAGACAGGAGAATGGCAAATTTTAAGGCCTGATCAGGTCTGTTATTTTTGCCTATGCAATACAATATAGCCAGCATTACATAACCTTTATAAGTCATTCAGAGATAAATTCTAGTTTATGGTGCATAGGTGATATGTATTTGGCATTGAAGCACTTGAACATCCACAAAGGGGTCTGGAACCACCCCCTGTGGGTCCTGAGGGCTGACTATGTTTGACATCATCCATTTCTTCAAACAGCATAGATACTTCTATGGGGGCTTCTTGGGAAAGGTCTGTCACTCAAATTAGGGGTGATAGGCGAGGTGTCTGGAGCCCCCTGGGTAAGTCTCCAGGTGGATGAGTCAGCCAATGAGCCACACCTTGATTTCTGTGGTCCCTGACTGCTTTGCCCACTGGATTAGTCGTGCTTACATCCAATGCCAGATAGCACCTGAAGCAGGTGCTGCCGGTGGAGGAAGTACAAGGAAGGAGCAGCCGGTTGTCCCCTACCCTTCCAAGGTGGAAAAGCCTTGCAGAGCCAGACAGGCAAAGGCAGTGGCAACTCTTGTGCCTCAATGAGAGAGACAAACCTGAGCTCTAACCTTCTCTACAGGAGCCAGGTGCTGAGCACTTTGAAAGAAACCAAGGAAGTGGCGAGTTAGTGTGATCGATGAAGTCCATTTCTCAAGGGTAGAATGTCACAGCAGGTTAATAAGTAGACTAGTGCCGAGGAGGCTTGAATGGGCCTTTTGGGCCAAACTTATCCCCATTTAACTTTTCACATGGACTAATTCAATTAGAAAGAAATCCTGGCTGGTTGTGGTGGCACATGCCTGGAGTCCCAGCTGCTCAGGAAGCAGAGGCAAGAAGACTTGAGCTCAGAGGTTTCAGTCCAGTAGGGGTAGCACAGCAGGACTCTGTCTTTTAAAGAAATTAAAATAATTATTGTTTTAAGTTGGAATTTTCAGTCTTTCTAGAAAAAAAATCTATTAGTAAAATACTAATACTTTGTGCCAAAAACCATCTGGAACAGAGCTGCGGCTGCCTTGGACCAGGCATGTGCTCTTCGTGACCAGGTAACCACCACACCTGATCCATGTCCCAGATATCTAGGTCATGCTTCAGTCACCCAGAAATCTTACTGACTGATGTCTACCTGGGTTGGCAAGTGAGTCTGCCACCGTGTGATCAAGTGAATCCTGACAGCAGCTGGCTTTGGGATCTAGGTACCTGAGCTCTGAGGCTCCCTCAGATGCACCATCAAGTGACAGAACCCTCAGCCCAACAGTGCTCTGAGCACCAGCAAGGGGCAGGTTCTAATGGCGAGCTAAAGGTGGGGACTCAGGGCTATAGACATGAGGCCCTCATCTGAGGGTTGTTTCAGGAAACCTGAGTCTGCTGGTCAGCCTCTTTCTCCCCTCCTAACAATGCCTGTCTGTCCCTTTCCCATAGGTGTTGGGACATCAATGCCAATGCTACCATCTGGTGGGTCATTCGAGGTCCTGTGATCCTCTCCATCCTGGTAAGTGGCCATCTTCTGCTGAGCTGGTGGCCTGTGGGACAAAAGTGCCAGGAGGGATAAGCCACAGGCTTGCAGGTGGTCCTGGAATCTCTGATCTTTTTTGGTGGTCCTAGAATCTCTGATCTTTTTTGGGGGGGAGGGGTGCGGGTCCTGGGGCTTGAACTCTGGGCCTGGCTGTTGTACCTGAGCTTTTTTGTTCAAGGCTAGTGCTTTACCACTTGAGCACATCTCCACGTCTGGCTTTTTTTGATGGTTAATTGAAGATAACAGTCTCACAGACTTTCCTGCTCTGACTGGCTTTGAGCTACAATCCTCAGATCTCAGCCTCCTGCATAGCTTGTATAGGTATGAGTCCCCAGCACCTGGAAAAATCTCAGCTCTTAATCTGAAGGGACAGTGGGATGGTGAGGAATGGTTAACAGCCAAGTGGGACTATGGTTTTAGAACACTGAAGGGGACAAGCTCAGGAAACAGATGCAAGAATGACCCCGGCATAGGGATTACTCAACCCTGGCTGCCAATTCCATTCCCTGGAAGCTTTCAATATGTTGATAGGAAGCTGGGTGCCCACTGCTCACACCTATAATCCTAACTACTCAGGAGCCTGAGATCTGAGGATTGTGTTTGAAGCCAGCCAAGGCAAAAAGGCTCATTAAAATTCTTAACTCCAGGTAACCAGCAAAAAGCCAGAAGTGGAGGTGTGGCTCAGGTGGTAGAGTGACAGCTTTGAGTGAAAAGGTAAAAGAGTGCAAGACACTGAGTTCAAGCCTCAGTTTAGCACAAAAATTAATAAATGAATAAAAAAATATTGATAGTCAGGACACTGGTGGCTCACGCCTATAATCCTAGCTACTCAGGAGGTTGAGATCTGAGGATCGTGGTTCAAAGCCAGAAGAAGCAGCAAAGTCTGAGACTTTTATCTCCAATTAATTACCACAAACCTGTAAGTGGAGCTGGACTTCAAGTGTAGAACACTAGCTTTGAGCACAAAAGCTCTTAGATAGGCCGTGCCCCAAAGGCCTAAGCATAAAATCCTAGCTACTCTGGAGGCTGAGATCTGAGGATCATGGTTCAAAGCCAGATGAAGCAGGAAAGTCTGCGAGACTCTTATATCCTATTAATCACCAGAAAACTGGAAGTGGAGCAGTGGCTCAAAGTGGAAGAGTGCTAGCCTTGAGCTGAGCCGACAGGAAAAAACAAAATAAAACAAAACATGTATGAATCGGTAGAGATGAGAGTTCTGTGTTCTGGGGAAGGGCCTGAGCCTGAGCTTTGTTAAGGCCTTGGTGTCTGTTCTGAAACCAGGGTGAAGAGCCCTATAGCCTAGCTGTGTAGAAAGGAACAGAGTAGGGGGCAGAGGAGAGGGGACGCACAGAGGAGAGGTCTAGCTCTTTGGCTGGAACTAACATCTCTGTGCCCAAGGCTGAGGAACAAGTTGACAGAAGTGCCCATTACAGATTGACTGACTGGCTTGGGGGTGGGAGAAGAGCAGAGGTCAGGAGCCCCTGACCCTCCCATGCTGCAGTCACTCCTGCATCTCTTTTCTGGGATTGTCCCTTGCAGAGTCCTAAAACTATACAGCCCCACCTGGCCCGAGTTCCTCTAAAAGAAAAAACAAAACAAAACACTAGAATTCATGCAAAAAGCTACAAAGTAGAAGATGTGTTTGTTTTGTTTGATTGATCAGTGTTCATTGTACATATTAGCAGGGATCAATGTACTATTTCACCATGCATACAATTCATGTATACTGTATACACCAATCTTCTTAGCTTTTTTAAAAATGTAGTTGGAGCTTTCAAGAGCCTCTCTTCTAGTTTCCCACAAAATACATATTACAAAATATATTTCAGTGTGTCTGTGCTGATCCTCAGGGCCTGGTACTGTCTCTGACTTTCTTTTTGTTCAAGGCTAGCACTCTTACCACTTGAGCCACAGCTCCACTTCCAGTTTTGTTTGTTTTTAGTTTATTGGAGATAAGAATCTCTTGGACTTTCCTGCCTGGGCTGGCTTTGAACTGTGATCCTCAGATTTCAGCCTTCCAAGCAGCTAGGATTACAGGCATGTGCCATAGGCACCAGGCACGTGTGTGTGTGTGTGTGTGTGTGTGTGTGTGTGTGTGTGTGTGTGTGTGTGTGTGTGTGTGTGTGTGTGTGTGTGTGTGTGTGTGTGTGTTGCCAGTCCTGGGGCTTGAACTCAGGGCCTGAGTGCTGTTCCTGAGCCTCTTTATGCTCAAGGCTAGCACTCTACCATTTGAGCCACAGCACCACTTCTGGCTTTTTCTGAGTAGTTTATCAGAGATAAGAGTCTCAGAGACTTTTCTCTCCTGGCTGGCTTCAAACATCAATCCTTAGATCTCAGCTTCCTGAATAGTTAGGATTACAAGCATGAGCCATCAGAGCCCAGCTCAAAATGTATTTTTTAAAAGGACAGCCAGTGCCTGACTTATGTAACTATAATCCCTCTGTACATCACCTTTATAGTAACATTTTTTTAACTTTCTTAAAAGCTCAAGGAAAAAATTTAAAAAGACAGCCAGATGTGTTGATACATGCCTGTAATCCCAGCACTTAGAAAGCTAAGGCAGGAGGCCAGACTGAGATACACAGGCCCTGTGTCAAAGGGGAAAAAATAATTAACAGGGAAGTAGTGGGTAAGAGGAAGAGAAAGAAAAGATATATAGAATCTTAAGTTCAGGCCTACATGCTTTAAAAGCAGTTACTAGGGTTTGAACTCAGGGCTTAATAATTATTAGGCAGGTACTCTACCACTTGAATCATATCTCCAGCCTTTACTGCTCTGTTTTTTTGTGTTTTTTTCTTTTGTTGTTGGTCATGGGGCTTGAATTCTGAGCCTGGGCACTATTCGTGCGCTCTTCAGCTCAAGGCAAGCACTCTACCGCTTGAGCCACAGCACCACTTCCGGTTTTCTAGTGGTTAATTTGAGATAAGAGTCTCTTGGAGTTTCTCACGGGCTGGCTTTGAACCGTGATCCTCAGATCTCAGCCTCCTGAGTAGCTAGGAATACAGGCGTGAGTCACCGGCACCCAGCTGCTCTGGTTATTTTTAAGATAGGATCTAACTTCTTGCTTAAACCAGCCTGGACCTCAGTACTCCTATTTACACTTTCAACTACTGTCTAGCTGGGATGACAGACACACATCATGATGCCCACCATTTTCTATTGAGATGTAATAATTGAGAACTTTTTGTATGGGCTGGCTTCAAATGGTGTGTCTCCCAACCTCAGCCTACAAGATTCACAAAACCCTGCAAACCTGAAGAATCAGTAATCTGCTTGCCAAGTGAGCAAACCCTTGAGCTTCCTTGGCTGGGGGTAAGATGGCTGCGGTTTCCAGCCATGGCTCTGAACAGTTTGTTTCACCGGGGCTCTGAGGCAGGAGCCCCAGCTGGAATGGGCTGTCCTGCACGTGGTTTCCACAATGTCTTTCCCACCCCAAAGTCCACAGGATATCAGGGAAAGCAAGAGACCTTCAACCCCTCTTCTGCCTTGTATTTTACAGATCAATTTCATCTTCTTTATAAACATTCTAAGAATCCTAATGAGAAAACTTAGAACCCAAGAAACAAGAGGAAGTGAAATGAACCAGTACAAGTAAGTATCAGGCAAAGACCTAGAGATACTAAAACAGCCAGTCTATCAGTCAGCATACATTCACTGAGCACCTACTGTTTGCTCAATGATTGATTGCCAGTTAAAATTGGAAAAGGGAGGCCCAGTTTTACATTGTAATTGGGATGGTGGGGGAGTGTATCTGATTATGATGGGATAGAGAAATTACGAAGCCTCCGATGGGAAGCATGTGGGTAGAGGCTGGACCCTTGTGGGGTCTGCATGGGCTGCAGGATTTGATCCAAATCTGGTCAAATCTGTGTAGTATTTAGGGGAAAATGACCTGGACTTTCATCATATGTTCAAGGCGAGTGTGTGATTCAAAAACACTTAAAATCACCTGCTTCCTGGGGCTCACATCTGTAATTCTAGCTACTCTGGAGGCTGAGATTAAGATCTCAGATAAAGGTTAAAATCAAGATCTGAGAAACCAGAGCTCACAGACATATATGAGAGACTCTTGTCTCCAATTAACCAGCAAAAAGCTGAAAGTGGAGGTGTAGCTCGATTGGGAGAGTGCCAGCCTTGAGTGATAAAGCGAACCAAGATTTTGAGGCCTGAGTTCAAGCCCTAGTAACAGCACCAATCAAACAAAATATTTGAAACCTTTAAGATGTTCAAGAGTGATGTGTCCCCTTCCTTAGGTGGTCTTAACAAAATGCTGCAGACTGGGGGTGTAGACAATAGAAATTTTTTTTCTATCCTGGTTCTGGAGGCTGGAAGGCTAAAAACAGGGTTGGTGTGCCTCTGAGATCTCTCTCCTGCATGTGTAGGTGGCCGCCACCTCCTTATGACCCCATGTGTTCTTTTCCCTGAGCACTGGTACCCTTCATACCTGTGTCCACACTTCCTTTCCTTATAAAGACTCTGGTAGCTGGGTGCCTGTAGCTCACGCCTATAATCCTAGCTATTCAGGAGACTGAGACCTGAGAATTGTGATTCAAAGCCAGTCCTGGCAGGAAATTCTGTGAGATCCTGATTTCCAATTAACCACCAAAAAGTCAGAAGAAGAGCTGTGGTTCAAATGGTAGAGTGCTAGCTTTGAGTAAAAAAAAAGTGCAAGGACAGGCCCTGAGTTCAAGCCCCAGAACCTGCAGAGAAAAAAAGAAATGACCCTGGTAGGTTGGTTTGGTGCCTCACACAGGCCTTGAAACTTAATCTCTTTAATGGCTGCATTCACAGTCTAAAATACTAGGAACTTGGCTTCAACATAAGAATTTGAAGGAGATACAATTCAGCCTGTAACAGATGTTAAAGACAAATTAATGCTCTACACAGGCTCTCTCTATGATGCCTTTTTGAGAAGTGGTCATTGGTAGAGTTTGTCTGTGTCATTCCTCACTGCATCTATGGATCATCTCTTCATTTCGTCTCCAGACAGTCAAGATAAAATACACATTGTGGGGGCTGGGAAGTTGGCTCAGTGGTAGTGCGTTGCCTTGCATGCCTGAGGCCCTTGGTTCGATTCCTCAGCACCACATAAGCAAAAAGAAAAAAGCCGGAAGTGGTGCTGTGGCTCAAGTGGTAGAGCGCTAGCCTTGAGCTGAAGAGCTGAGGGACAGCACCCAGGCCCAGAGTTCAGGCCCCATGACAGGACCCAAAAAAAAAGAAAAAGAAAAAGAAAAAAAAATACACATTGTGTAGGTACATTTGAATTCAGGGTAAACAACAAATAGTTTTTCAGGACTTAGTCCCCTAACCCAATTATCTCGTATGTGTCTGAAATTCAGACATAACTGGCCCCTGTATTTTTTTAATTTATTTTTTGCTGAGCACCCTGTATTTTTCCCATTCAAGACTGATGCTCTGCTACATGAGGCACACCTCCACCTTCATCTTCCTTTATTTTGGGGGGCTGAATCCAGAGCTTGCATTCAGAGCTCACTTTGGCTGGTGCTGCACCATTTGAGCCACATCTTCATTCTGGATTTTTGCTGGTTAATTGGAGGTAGAGTGCCACAGATTTTTCTGCCTGAGCTACCTTCAAACTGAGATCGTTAGATAGTGGTCTCTACAGAACCTAGGAATACAGGCATGAGCTATTGCAACACTTGGTTTCTATTTTGTTTGTTTGATTGGTTAGGAGTTTTTGTAAATATTTTTATTGTTATTATAAAGGTGATATACAGCCAGGCCCCAGTGGCTCACACCTGTAATCCTAGCTACTCAGGAGGTTGAGTTCTAAGGATCACAGTTCAAAGCCAGCCTGGGCAGGAAAGTCCGTGAGACTCTTTTTTTTTTTTTTTTTAATCAGTCCTGGGGCTTGAACTCTGGGCCTGGGTGCTGTCCCTCAGCTCTTCAGCTCAAGGCGAGCGCTCTACCACTTGAGCTACAGCGCCACTTCCGGTTTTCTGGTGGTTTATTGGAGATAGGAGTCTCAGGGTCTCTCCTGCCTGGGCTGGCTTTGAACCGCGATCCTCAGATCTCAGCCTCCTGAGTAGCTAGGATTACAGGTGTGAGCCACCAGCGCCCGGCTTGTGAGACTCTTATCTCCAATCAACCACCAGAAAACTGGAAGTGGTGCTGTGGCTCAAGTGATACAGCACCAGCCAAGCAAGTAAACTGAGGCTCAGGGACAGTACCCAGGCCGAGTTTGACACACAACCAACAAAAAAACCAAAAAACAAAAACACCAAAACCGGTGATAAACTGAGAGGTTACCACTTCATAAATAAGTGAGATATAAGGAGTACATTTCTGTTTTTCCCTCCTATCCCCAACCCACAACTTGGAGTGTTAATTTTCCACATAGTATCTAGTGAGTATCACTGCTGCATTTGTTTACCATTTGTCCCTCCATTTCCATACCCCCTTACCTTCACCTCTCCCTGGAACTTGAACTCGGGGCCTCTTTTGCTCAAGGCTAGCCCTCTACCACTTGAGTCACAGTGCCACTTCTGGCTTTTTCTGTTTATGTGGTACTGAGGAATCGAACCCAGGGCCTCTACCACTGGGCCACCTTCCCAGCCTCTCTGGGTTCTTATTTACTAAATTTGGTTACCTTAATCTAAGAAGACAATACAAGCACTCCTCATAGTTGTGTAAGGGGGGAGGGAGTGCGTGTGTGTGCATGCATATGTGTATTGTTCCTTAGTCTTGAATTCAGGGTCTGTGTGTTGGTCCTGTGCTAAGGGCTAGTACAGCTCCATTTTAATTTTTGGTGGTTAATTGCAAATAAGAGTCTCAGACTATTCTGCTCAGGATGGCTTCAGAGATCCTCAGATCTCAGCCACCTGAGTAGCTAGGATTACAAGCGTGAGCCACTGGCACCCATCTTACAATTATATTATCTAATAAGAAAGCTAACTTTGATCATTGTTAGACACAGAGTTGGGCTGGGAATGTGGCTTAGTGGTAGAGTGCTTGCCTAGTATGCATGAAGCTCTGGGTTCAATTCCTCAGTTCCATATAAACAGGAAAGTCTGGAAGTGGCAATGTGGCTCAAGTGGTAGAATACTAGCCTTAACCAAAAGAAGCTCAGGGACAGTACCCAAGACCTGGGTTCAAGCCCTAGGACTGGCAAAGAAGGAAGGAAGGAAGGAAGGAAGGAAGCAAGGAAGGAAGGAAGGAAGGAAGGAAGGAAGGAAGGAGGAAGGAAGGAAGGAAGGAAATCTAATTCATAAACAAATTCCTTGCATGGATATTTTTTATACTGCATTACTTAGGCAATCAGAAACTTTGAGGACTGGTCATGACTTGGTGAGTGTCAGGTCTAGATGGTAGGTGTATGAGAGTTAAGAATCTATGAAATAAAATGCAAACAGACTGGGATGTAGCTCAATGGCAGAGTGATTGCCTATCCCTGGCTTTAATCCTGCTACACACTCAAAAATAAATAAACAAATTAATTAATTAAGACAGGAAAACAAAAAACGGAAGCCCCCCAGTGTTTGGACACATTGCTGCTAAGCAAGAGGCCCTGAATTTTCCCCTTAGATGAGGAGAGAGGGTTAGAGGGATGTAGAGCTTCTGGTGTGTCTCTGTGTCCCCAGGCGCCTGGCCAAGTCCACACTCCTGCTCATCCCCCTGTTCGGCATCCACTACATCGTCTTCGCCTTCTCCCCTGAGGATGCTATGGAGGTCCAGCTGTTCTTTGAACTGGCCCTGGGCTCCTTCCAGGTAAGGAAAAGAGGAGCTCTCTGTACCACGGGGAGAAATCAGGGACTTGGAAAGGGTTTTGCCTCATTCGGCAGAAATCCAAGGGACACAGGGGCAGGACCTGCTTGTGCTATGTGACTGGGACCTGAGTGGGCCCACAGTTCCCATCAGTTAAATGGGGGCGGGAGATGAAATCTAGAGACTGGGACAGCCACACCCTTTTGCATGTCAAATTGTCACAATACCACAAATGTGTCCTGGAAGTACATAGGAAGGCAAGGCTTGGGGGAGGACATTTGAAAGAGTGCAAATCCTTGTCTTCTTACTGTGATGCTCAGAAAAAATGACCAAAGATACATTTTCTACTATCATCACCATCACCACCACTACTACAAGCAGTAGCAACAACAGCTTCTAGAGTCAGTTAAGAGAAGGTACATTTGCCCAGAGGAAAAGGAAACTGGGGCCTGGTGTCAAGAGGTTGGTAGGGTTTCTAACCAGAATGACTTTACTTTTAAAACTATGAGCAGTTGCAACTTATTACAAATACAAATATGAGAGAGAGAACCAATGACTCATGCCTATAGTCCTAGCTTCTTAGGAGGCTGATATCTAAAGGATCAAGGTTTGAAGTTGGCCAGGGCATTGAAGTCTGTGAGATTAGAACTCCAAAATAATCAGTGGAAAGGCCAGGCTTGATGCATGTCTCAAGTGGCAGAGCACAGATGTGAGTTCAAACCTCAGTACCTTGATATAAGAATGTATGTGTGTGTGTATATATGTATATATATATATATATATATATATATATATATGTATGTGTGTGTATATATATGTCTACCTATTAATTCACCAGGATGTTGTGAAGTTAAAACAACAAAAAC